AAGAAGAAGGAAGATTTGCTTTGTTTTGGTTTTTTTCCTTTTTTGTTTTTATTTTTTATTTTTTTAGTAAATTGCATCTGTTTCAAGAATTTTTATTGTTAATTTGTTGTTATTATATTTTACTTATTACATCATGACATATGATTTTTGTTGACAATTTCAAATTTTTAGTATACCTACATGTAAAAAATATTAACATATTTGTAATAAATATGCATGTGTATGTGCAGTTAAGCATATGTAATAATTATTTTAAATTATAATACAAAAATTCAATGTCATAACAGTTATACTCATATATGTACATACATGTGTTATTATTATTACTTTTAAAATTATATACATTTTTGTTTTTTATAATTAAATTTTTAAAATATTGAAATGACAATGCATAAATGTTATTCTATAATAATTTAAAGGGAAAAAGGTTTAAAAAGGATAATGTAGCAGTTGTTCTGATAATTCCTAAATAGAACAATAGGCTTAGTTGTATTGAGGATTTTAATTTGCATTCATTTTGTATTATTCGTAGTCTCCACATATTTTAAACTTCTACTTAAAATTTGTTTAACTGCACGCACTTCCTTTATAAAAATTAATTTTAATTAAGTGATTTTAATGGATTGGAACAAAAATTGGTTTTATGAAATTTTTAAAAATTTTATATTCTATAGGAAACTTTAATACAATATTAAACTTTACTTGTCAATGTATAAAGCCTGAACTCTGAAAAACAAAAGCTGCTCAAATCAATTATATAATAAGTTTTTCAATTAAATTTACAATCGTTATCAATGTATGTATAAACCTACAATGAAACTGAAAAAAAACTTTATTTATTACAATATATGTAGGTATATGGAATAGAGTTGAAGCTGGACAAGATTAAGGATCTTTACAAATTAATTAAACGAAGCACACTTAAATCTTTGAAGTTTAAGCTTCAATAACAGCTACCCTTTCAAAACCATCCAATAATATAACATGGCAATCAAAGATAATACAAACAAAGGAACAGTTTCTTTTTTTCGTTTTACTAACAGTTCGTTTTAAAACAGTTCGTTTAAGAAACAGTTTTTTTTTTTCAAATTGTACCATGGATGAGATAGTGTTAAGGGTCTATGCTAATAGGGTTCCAAAATTAAAATAAGTTTTTGCATAGAAAACTTCATACATTTTTTCAATTTAGTAAAGTCAATTTGGAATTTACTACTGTGATCTAGTTATGTTGGCGCATTAATTAAACAAGTTTGCAACACCTTTTAGTATATAATATGATCTACATAATACGAAAATCAATAATAAGAAAGTACAGTAATCACTTACATCTTGTTGTTATATGACATTTCTGTATTAAATTGCCAATATTAACAATATTGTTAAATTCTGTTAACATTCCTATTTTTTCTTTTCCTGACAACTAGAAGGTTTTTAGTATTGTACTTAATATGCTTGTACTAAGCAATCACCATTTTGCTTAAGAATTCTAACAAATTTTTTACTAATCAATTAACAGCCTAATCGTGCATCTCGTCTTTTCTTCTCATTTTTAATTCACTTTCAAATCAGAATTCTCTGTTTTTCTAATGAAAATTTCATTATTCCAATAAGATTATTCAATTAGGATTTTTGCTTTTTCCCCAAATTATCGACTGAATATTTCACTTTTAAAAACAAAGTGAATAAATCTTTTATATCAAATAATTTTTCTCACTCTAAAATTATCAAACATATAATACGAGTAGTTACTCACTTTCCTCTCACTTGCCAAGTATAATAGCGAGATAAGCGATCACGTCCTAACCAAATATTTGATATACTCTCTGATATGAGCTCATAACAATTTTTTCAAGCTACATACATATTTACATATGTGAATTTACGTATATGAAATGTTTTTGGAAATATAATTACGTTGGGATTCAAAGGAGAAGATCACTTAATTTTCAAGTAAGATAAAAATGGACATTTTCTTAATAAAGTAACTCAAAAATCTCAAAAAAAAACCTGAATTTTTTTGTGTGACTTTCTTTATTAAAAACATTTTGTGTATACGTACACATTCATACAATCTTAAACACATAGGTATTTGAATTTTTATACATAATATTGTAACAAAAAAATAGTTTTAAAATAGCTAGCAGCTAGGTCATATACTTGATTGTGTGTGTATGTACAGTCAGCGTCATAATTAATCGTACGAGTGCCGAAATTACTGAATTTTGGGTTTCTACAGGGCTCACAAAAAAAATATTTTTTTCATTTGATTTAATTGATCATATAATCGTTTTCATCTATATATAATGATTAGAAATACAAATGATTCACACTTGCATTGGCACTTTGTGTTTTTTTTCTCTTTATTTTCGCGACGTATTTAATCGTACGATAAATTTACCGCTATTTTTCTGATGAAATATTTAGAGTTTTTGAAAAGTATTAACTTATAATCATTCTTAAAGCAACTTTTAAATGCGATGCATTCATTTCTGTAAAAATTTTGATATTAAATTTTAGTTATCAAAGCAATATGGTAAATAATAAAGAAACTAGTATCGAGTTCAGAGAACTTATTATAAAATATCATTTAGAAGGTTTTTCTTTAAACGAAATAGCTAAAATTATTAAAAGAAGTAAATCCACGGTTCAATACATAGTTCAGAATTTTAAAAAAACTGGTTCAGTCAATTATAATAAAAAGTCAGGCAGGCCTAGAAAGTTAAACGAACGAGAAGAGAGACATATTTTACATGAAATTAAAAAAAATCCTAAAATGAGTGGTACCACAATAGCAAAAAGAGTTTCCCAAACCTACAAAAAAGATGTTTCAAATCGTACCATTCAAAGATTGCTAAACAGAAATGGTTTTCATGCCTATACACCAAGAAAAAAACCTCTTATATCTGATAACAATAAGAAAAAAAGATTAGAATTTGCCAAAAGCCATAATAATTCTGACTTGACTTATTGGAAAAGGGTGATTTTCTCTGACGAGAGTAAATTTAATATTTTTGGACATGACGGGCCATCCAAAGTTTGGAGAAAAACCGGAGAAGCCCTCAATCCAAAAAATTTAGTATCCACTGTGAAACATGGTGGTGGCAACGTCATGGTCTGGGGTTGTTTTCTTGGCACGGGACGGGCCATCTGGAATTTATCGATTGTAAAATGGATAAATTTCACTATTTAAATATTCTCAAGGCTAATTTAAAATCATCAGCTCAAAAAATGGGGTATGAAAACGAATGGATCTTCCAACAGGATAATGATCCTAAACATACTTCTGGTATTGTTAAGGAGTGGCTCCTATATAATGTGCCAAAACAACTTCATTCGCCTCCACAATCACCGGACCTCAATCCCATAGAGCACATTTGGGCTTTTTTGGAAAGTCAACTTGGGAAACACCATATAACTTCGAAAGAAAGCCTTAAAACTGCTATCAAACAAGAATGGGAAAATATTCCGCTAAAATTCCTACAAAAATTAATTGAATCAATGCCAAATAGAATTCAGGAGGTGAACAAATTTCGGGGTGGAAATACAAAGTACTAAAAAAATGCTGTGATAGAAAATAAAGTGCTGTTAGTTATGCGTACGATTAAATATGTCGCGTTTTTTAATTGAATTTTTAAGTTTTTTGTTTATATTTTGTTTGTTTTTATAATATAGGAAAAAATGAAGGCTGAATAATAAATAATTTTTGTTTTTGATTAGTTTCTATCTAAAAATTGAATTTGTTTTATAATTTTTCCTCTTTTTATAAGCTTTTTGCAACCGTACGATTAATTATGACGCTGACTGTATGTATCTAAAATTCAAGTAACAAGATGAAAGAACCATAATGTTTTTTTTCATATTTCTTTTATGGTGTGCGTACTGTTAACTTTGTGAAGTATTTGTAATTTTATTTTGCCACAAAAATAAATTGTAATAAATTAAATATTAATATAAAAATGATAAGAGAAGTATTCATTAATGATTTCTATTGCATTGTAATAGAGTTTGAAACATTAAAGTTAATCTTTTAAAAAAACAAAACAGTCAAAACAAATTATGGCATATATAAAGTCCATAAGCTTGTATTTTTATCGCAAGAGCCTATTCTTTATAATTCTCCCCCCAATATCGCTATTTACAGTTTTCAACAAAACAACGTTGGACATTAGATGTAGATAGTGATTCTGTCATCATAATAATGATCATAAACTATTTTCCAACAACATGTTTTAAGAATATCATTAGTAATATTATATTTGTACTAAATATTGGTTGAAATACTTGTACATATCTATTCAATTCCGTTATATTGATGCACATACATATGTGTATAAATACATCTACAAACATATACAATATATAATTTGAATTTATTCATAAGAATGTGTTTGAGTAGGTAGAGCAAATTGATTTTATTCTTCAATGAATTTTATATTGTGTATGTATGTAAAGATGAGAAACAAAAATAAATTACTATTTTTATGTTGTGCACTACGTAAATATTATGTATACACCAATGTATTATAAAAATACAACTTAACAAAATTATATATGTATTTTTAATATTGAAATGTGTAATTTATTTCACTAATTGTATGTGGCCCTGTGGCGCAATGGATAACGCGTCTGACTACGGATCAGAAGATTCCAGGTTCGACTCCTGGCAGGGTCGTAAGTAAATTGTTTTTTTTTTTTTAAATTTCATACAAATTTTTCAATGTATACTGTATAAAGGTAAGCATATAATTATGTTATAATTATTGTAATTATTATATATTATTTTAATCTTGTTTTCAATACATTTGTTTTGTACAAATATCTTTATGGGAATTTTACACATTTAGGTCTACTCTGATAACAGTGGGGCTTCCAATTTAATTATATTCTAATGCTTAAGAATATTCTTAGCAGTTCGTCATATCCGTAAGAATTTTTATTTATAAAATTTATTACACTCTAATTTTAAAAAATTATTATTAAAATATCGCTTGATAACATACCTGCCGAATAATGGATGCCAAAGAGCAGCATTTGGATCACTCATCATAATATCGTCTAAACTACTTGTGGTACTTCCAACTTCTGTTCCACTCTCATCACCATTATTAGAGCAATTTAGTAAACGACGTTGCATTGCTATCGGGTCTAAAAGATGAGTTCCCGATTTCACTTTTAATTTTGCTGATTGATTATGATGTTGTTGTTGTTGTTGATGATGATGTTGTAATTGTTGCTGATGATGAAGTTGTTGTTGTTGATGATTGTGATTATTATTTGAGTTATTATTATTATTATTATTATTATTATTATTGTTGTGAGATCTTTGATTTAATTGATTTGTTAAAGATCCCAATGATGATGATGTTCCTAACGAGGAAGAAGAATTATAATGACTTTGATGATAATTATGAGACTGATTGTTCACTATGTTATTGCTATTATTATTATTTATACTGTTATTGCTATTAAAATTATGTTGATTTTGGAATGGATTGGTTGCACCGGCAAAATTAAAATCAAATCCTGGCATTGCCATTAAATTCGCCATTTTATTATCAGCAGCAGCCGCTGGATTTAAAACTCGATCAGGTTGCAACAAATTAGTGAGAGATTTACATGTTAAACGCGGTTTTTGGTCAATCTGATTCGAGTGGTTCATATTCGATTTTGGTTGTGATTTATTACTTCTTAAAACAGGTGTTATATCTACACCACCTGGAGTATAATTTTGATGGAATGGGTTGATTGGCCGAGCGTTATTCGATTTATCTGAATTATTACTGGTTGAAGTCGAGAGACGTTGAGTATTCCGGTTGTGGTCCTGACGGAATGGATTGATACCAATCATGGATCTTTGTTTCTGATTTTGTGATTGTTGCATTTGTTGAGATTTCTGTTGTATTTCATTAAGCAATTTTTTATTTTCAGCCTCTTTTTGAGCTGCAAACAAAGCCGCTAAATTCCGTTGCGCGTTGAGTTTGTCTTCTTGCTTTTTTTTCAATTCTTGCTCTCGTAGAGCCGCAGCAGCCTGCTGCTGCTGCTGCTTCTGTTGCTCTTGCTGCAATTTGAGGATTCTTTGCATTTGAGCCTGGGTAAGCACTTGTTGCCACATAGCCATTTCTAATGGATTTTGAAAAGCGGCGGCTGCAGCCATAGGATTTTGTAACGCAGCTGCAGCAGCCATTGGATTCTGCAAAGCTGCAGCGGCAGCTACTGCCGTTAGGGGATTGAATTGATTTGTATTTGTTTGAACGCTTTGCTGTGCTGCTGCAGCTACTGCAGCTTGTTGTTGTGCTTGTAATAGTGGTAGTAGCTCTGCTAAGTTATTATTGCTATTATTAGAAGAGTTATTATTATTTTGCAAGTTACTCATAGCTTTAAATAGATCTGGTGCCATCTGTCCCAAATAAGGTAACCATAACATTTGATTAAATGCAGCCATTGTTGCAGCGTCTATTTCACTAGCCAGACCAGCTGAAGCTAGTAAGGGTGCTAAGGGATTATTTAATAAATTCTTAGCTGCAGCAGCAGCTGCAAAGTTTGCTGCTACAGGCGTATTATTTGTGTTTGAGTTTACGCTTGTCTTCTTTGATGCATTTTCTGTAGGAATAGAGACTGAATTTTCTTCATTCATGTGAGGCTGAATATCTGTTGTAGCCGTAGTATGAATCTGTGGAGCAGATTTTTCAGGTCGTTGGATACTCTTATTGCTGGCGTTAGGATTTGGCACAGGTTCAATAGTAACCTGTGGCGTTACCATAACAGGTTGTGCAGGCTTAGACCTAGGAATTTCAACTTGTTTCTGTAAAATTGCTTCTAATTGCGCCATCGATATAACCAATATATCTGGATCCTGTAAAATTGAAGGATATGCAAATGCTTCTGGCAATCTCAATTCTTTTCGTGTTGTAAGAAGTAATGGAATTTCCCTTGCTGGAGAAGCTAATATTGCATTTAAACGATCCTTGGGTACTAAAATAGGATCTGGTACTTTCCATTCAGGATTTGATATTAATAAGCGAAGCTGAGTTAGTGGATCAGGATCTTTTCCTGTTGATAACATGTCCATCAGATTTTCTGTATAGCTCTTTTTATTGCAATTATTGTTATTGACACTATTATTAGAATTATTGGCAGAAACAGATTGCGATAAATTTTCTTGTTCATGTTTCAAACGTTTCGATGGCGGTTCAGGATGTAATGCATCAACATCAATGATTTCGAGATTTTGTGCAATAGTATTTGATGTCGAACTTGCTGGTGCGGCTGTTGTATTTGTTTTATTATTATTATTATTGTGGGTACGCTTCGCTTCTTCAGAGCAAGTTACAGTTGGACTTGCCGACTTGCGGTGCTTTCCTAAGTCCAAAGGCTCTTTTTGCTGCACTTGAGTTATAGTCGTACTACTTGGAACTTTAATAGGAGTAACGGTAAGTGAAGAGCATAGTTTAGGACTAGAAGAGGTAGCGGGGTTTAATATTTGATCTAAAAATAGATTCTTAGTTTTAGTATGAATTAAATCTGGTGATGGTGGTACAGCGGGTAATCCACTAGGTTGTGGCGATTGTATAGCATCGGAGCTCCTTGAATTAGGTCTTTCAACTTGATTTTCTATAATTGGAGTAGATTTTTTGCTTGTTTCAATTATTTGCACATCGTCTTCTGGTTTTTTACATGTCAAATCTTTAGGAATATCATCCGCACAAGAATCTGGGGAAACCGTATTTTTACTTCTTTCTGAAGTTATGTTTGATTTTGGTTTATTTGGCTGCTCGTTCATATAAGGTTGGGAAGTTTTCTCCAGATCCTTGATTGTTATTGAAAGCTCCTCTAGTGTAGCACGATTAAATGGATCTGAGTTTGTATTTGTTTGAAATAGTTCACCGTGTAGACCTTCAATTTCTCCAGCTTCGTTGAAGGACAAGCACTTTGGTGAAGGGGCTAACGTATCATTTAGTCTACAAATAATGTCATCTACAGGTTCCTGCCGCATTAACATGTTTTCATTTTCATTCTCGAAATCGTCAAGGCATATTGTAGTTGCGTTATCCAAACCTTGATTGATACTTTTTTCTTGACGGTCATTGTGACCGCTTGGTTCATCATCTAAAGATATATGATTATCTTCACATCTTCGTTTAACTAGTGAATCAATTATTTCATTTCCTGTCATTGCATTATCACAATTTTGCAATAAATCTGCGTCATCGAGTAAATCTTTTAAATGCTTTGTATCAACATCGGTTGGATCAAAACTATCAGACAAAGTTACTTGATGATCATTGTTACTATTAATATTGGTGTTATTATTATTGCTATTAGAATTTGAAAATATGGGTGGTGTTATAGTTGAAATGTTTGGCACTGCGGTAACAATATGTTGTGAAGACTGTGGGTGAATGGCTTGTACTTGTGCGTTTGTGTTTATGTTATTGCTTGTAGTATTGTTGTGGCTATTGACATTTTCAAAAACGTTGTTATTTTGGCACAAATTCATTAATTGCCTTCCAAAATCTTTATCAGGGTGGTGAACCATAAACTGTGGTATTTGTAATTCGATATCGTCATCGCTAAGCTCTGTAAGATTCTTTGTCAAATCAGCTGTTATTTCATTTTCGCTGATTGCAGCAGAGTTTGACATGATAGCTGAAGAGTTCATAAAGCTATTGATAGGTGTAATATTCAACTCCTGAGGCTGATCTTGATCTTCTTGGCTTATGTCGATGGTGACAGTATTGTTTTCAACATTGTTGTTTGTATTTTGGCACACTGGGGGTTCTTCGTCCACTTCGTCACTTCTATCATGATTTGTGCTTTCGTATACAATAACGTCCGTATTTGAAGGGGACATAAATGGAGGCGGGGTTGGAGCTGGTCCTTCTTCTTCAACTTCAATTGCTAATTGGCTTATAGGCTCTATTGTTTTCGGTAACTCATTTATTTCTTCAACTTTGTCTTCTTCAACATTTATTGGCAATTCTGGTGGATTTTCTATAGGGAAGTCAACAGCAAAGCTTTCATTAGCGGGTGTAACGCTATGTTCCTCAACAATAGCAGGTGGTACAATAGTTGTAGGTTCTACGATAGGAGTTGGTTCCATACTTGGTTCCACCAATTTTGGTTTTTCTAACTCTTTTTCTATTGTTGATTTTTGAATTTTTTGTTTATGCTTTTTCTTCTTCTTCTTCTTTTTCTTTTTATTCTGCTTTGTATTCATTGTAAGTAGTAATTTCTTTAACTGTTTTTTGGAATCAGGATGTACGTTTGTTAAAGTTTCTGTATTACTGGCAATATTTTCTTGTAAGGGTTGAACGGTATTACACTCCAACTGATCTTCCACGTCCTTTTGGGAATGATATATCTCTTGTTTGATTTTTATAGATGGTATAGCCTTAGCTAATTTAGCCGAGGTTGGATCTGTTCTTGGTATTGCTCTCCATGATCCATTTGATGTTTTTGTCAATTTTATGCGATTTCGTTTATCATAATCTTCACACCGAACCTCCACTATTCTGGTGTCATCTTGTTTTACCCATAGGAAAATGGGATTAACTCTAGTAGGTGTTATAGAGTCAATTTTAGATAATGTATTTTGTTCGGAAGCCTTTGTTTTACTGTTTGGATTTACTTTGTTGCGCCCATTAGCTTTTGTTGATGGTAATTTTTTATTAGTTTTTAAATTTGAAAGATTCTTTGGCAATTCCTTTATCAGACTTGCTGTTTTTTGTCTGACCGCTTTCTGTTTAGAGGAAACATTTTCTGTTATAATAGGAACTTCTGCTGAATTTGTTTCGATTGGGACTATTGAGTTTTGAGAGTCAACTTTTTCAGGTGATGGATTTCTCTGAGATCTTGTAACTGGTTTCAGATCGTAATATTCCTTATGTTTCCTCATGTCAGATATGGAATTATCTCCCAGCGCGTTTTCATTAAAGGGAGTCTCATCGATGTTTTGTTTCTGGATGGTTTGTGCGGATGGTTCACTTTTATCTTCTAAATTTTTTTCATTATCAGAATTTTTCTGTAGCTCAATTTCTGATGACATTAAGTTAAGAGGCGGTGGGGGAGATGGAGGTGCATAGCATGGCTTATGCCGCGGTGTTGCGCATGGTCCAGCAAGTACAGGCGTTATAGTTGGTTCATCTAATTCTGTTGGTTCATAAACGGATGTTTGATTTGCTGTTTCAGCTATTTTACTTTTAGGTTCTTCCAAAGAATTGAACGAACCATAACTCGGTTTATGTTTTGGTGTAGCTGATATAGTTAATTTTGGTACTTTTGGTTCATCAAATGATAACGAAGCATAAGACGTCTTATGTTTTGGTGTAGATGATATGGTTAACTTTGGTACTTTAGGCTCCTCGAAAGAAATTGAAGCAAAGGAAACTTTATGTTTAGGTGTTGCGGATATAGTCAATTTTGGCACTTTTGGTTCATCGCAAACTAAAGGTGCGTAGCATGGTTTGTGTCGAGGTGTACTGGCACCAGAAAATTTTAGTTCACTATCAAAAGACAATGACGAGTATGAAGTTTTGTGCCTGGGGGTAGCCGCAATTCGAGCATTTGGTTCTTCAAATGTGAAAGACGCATAATACGGCTTGTGTTTTGGTGTTGCAGATATTGTTAATTTTGGAACTTTTGTTGGCTCGTTATCCATACAAATAGCTGTGTAAGTGGTTTTGTGTTTGGGTGTTGCAGAAATAGTTAATTTTGGTACCTTTGGTGTTTCGTCAAATGATAGTGGTGGATAATTTGGTACATATTTAGGTGTGGCTACTATTCTTAATTTGGGAATTGCAGGTTGCTCCATTGATCCTGGCTTATGCTTTGGTGTTGAAGTTATGGGATTAGGATCATCAAAAAGTAATGGAGCGTAACATTGTTGATGCCTTGGTGTAGCAGCTGCTTTGCTTTTTGAATCGTCAAAAGATAATGAAGATGTATAAAACTTGTGTATGGGAGTGGCTGCAGTCTTCTTGGATGAATCATCAAATGAAAATGATGAATAATATGGTTTGTGCTTTGGAGTAGCTGAAATTGTTAATTTAGGAATTTTTGGTGGGTCATCAAATGTTAAAGATGAATAGGAAACTTTATGTACAGGTGTTGCAGTTATTTTAATTTTGGGAATTTTCGGTAAAATAATTTCTTCTTGAACAATTGGTGTAATAGGAGTTTTTTCACGACATCTAATTTGTTGATCCAGTACTTCATCTTCATTTACCTTGTTGCAATTTATATCAGGTACTGGCGATTTAAGACGATACTTAATTTCGTTGGTAGGCTCTTCTATGATCTCATCGATCGATTCTGTCTCTGTGTGAAAGCCATGGGAACTTATGATAGAGTTTTGATTTTCTGAATTAATATCAGATAAGCTGTCATTATTATGATTTTCAGTCTCTTTTTCGTTATGCAGTAATATACTATTTCCCATTTCAATATTTTTCCCAAAATTAGGAAAAGTTTCATCCGACTTTGAAATTTCATTTATTGTAGTAGAACTTCGGCTTCCAACAACTTTATTAAACAAATCGTTAAGGGGATCAATTTTACAATTTCCTTTATTAACAATGTTTAGCTGTTGCATTTCTGACTGAAAATCATCATTGTTTGGTGACTGGATATTTGCTTTAGTTTTCAGTAATTTTTTATTTGTTTTCTTGCTGCATTTCGAGCTTTTTCCAAAAGTATCATTTTTTTGTGCTTTTATCTTTTCCATTTGCTTTTTCTTTTGCTTTTTCGGTGTTGTATAGTTACTTCCACATTCAGATTGTGACACTTTGGTATCAGCAAATGTTACAGACTTTGATTGAGGTATTGTTTTATTTTGTTTTAATTTACCTTTTTTATCATCTTGATGTCTTAAAATTGAGGCATTGTCTTCTACAGTTAAGTATGAAAATTTGGATTTAGGCCGGCCCCGAGGTCTTTTTGTTTTATTGTTAGTATTTTTAGTCGTGCGTCTGCGTACATCAACTGGGTATTCTTCAAATAAAAAGAATATATCTCTAGCCACTCGTTTTCTTGCTGACTTCCTAGGTTGCAATCCCGAAGGATCATATTCTTCATTAGCAAGAATATTATCTGTCGTTATTTCAGTCTTATCTTTAGGTTTTCGACCCCGTTTTTTAGGACCTACCTTTGTAGAATTATCAAGAGTGGTATTATTTGTTTCACATTTTTGTATATCGATATTGTTATTTGTTTCCGTGTTAACATGTATTGGTGTTGACAAAATTGGCGACGTTAATGGCTGATTGTCTAATTTTAAATTTGAGGATGAAGATTTATCACAAAAACTGTTTGATGGTAATATTGTATTAAATGATGTAGTTAATTTATTTTCCTTATTTGAATCAATAGTGCATGTGCTTTTAACTTCATCACTTTCTTCTGAATTTTGATGTTGCAATGAATTTATTACATCAATATTATTACTAATGGTCCTAGTTTTACTATCATCATTTTTTGCTATCTTCACTGATATCGATGATGATAATTCGGAATGCAATGGTTCTTTAAAGTTTTGACTATTAATTTTTATTAATTGCTGCTCATAATTTAGAATATGTTTGTTATCTTTTGGTATATTTTTGTTTTTACTATTATTTACATTTTTTCTACTTTTTGTATTTTGACTAGATTTCCTATTACTATTTTTAGTTTTATTAATATTACTAATACTAATATTCATATCATTGCTGTTATTACTACTATTGTTATCATCGTTATAACATATATTATTATTACGATTACAATTACTTTTATTGCTACAAATAGGCTTATGAATGTTATTATTTTCAGGAATATTTTCAGGAATTTTTGAAGTATTATCAATTCCTGTCTCAACCTTATCTGAATCGGTTTTTGATGATACTGATTCAGCTTGTTTTTTCTTTTTAGATTTTCTGTTCGTTAATGGTGCCATTATTGATTTGCAGTTGTTATTTTGTAAAGATTTTTTAATTGGTATTAAATCAGGAACTGGTGGTAAAGATACTGATGAAACTGAAGTTGCTGGCGAACGCGATTGTGGAACCGATAAATGCTGACTTTCACAAATTTCAACAGCAGTTCCATTTATTTCAACGTTTGAAACGTTCAGAAAATTTTTATCGTTGCTTGTTGTAGAATGCTCTTCTGTTATTTTATTAGTTGTATTTTGTCCTAATACAACATCATCTGCATGACTGGACACACTATTAAAGTCATGTAATATGTCATCAATTATGCGACTATGTTTTCTTTGATTTTTTTCTAAATCCTCATTTGTTTTGAATAAATTATTACTATGATTTTGTTGTTGTTGTTTTTTTTGTTCTTGCAGCTGCTTATTTTCATTACTATTATTGTTATTATTATCGTTATTATTGTTATTAAAATTATTAAAATTTTTGTTAAGTGTTATATTACTATTTTGATCATTTTGTTGATCATCAAAATTATTTTGATTGTAAAATGAATTAAAAATTGTCAAATTCTCTTCATTGTCATCGTCATCTTCTTCTTCGTCATTATATATTGCATCATTGCTGGCAATGCTTTCTGAACTATTACTGTTATTTGATGATGCTGTTGATGCAACGCCGTGATGATGTAAATGATGATGTTGAAAATGATGATTTTGATTTTGAAAATGATGATTGTGACTCTCGACGTTTTCTTGATTTAAATGTGATATTATTCTTTGATCTGTTGTTATTAATTGATGATGAAGATGATGTTGTTGGAATGTTGACGTTTCTGTGAATACTGATGATGAAATCGGTGAAGATGATTCTTTCCATGATGATGTAACACCAACAATGTCAGTGCTCATAATTTAATTTTTTGTTAACTCAAGATCTTTCTTTTCTGCCTTTAGATTTTCTTATTTTCTAAAAACAAAATTATAAAAGAGAAAATAAATATATCCGAAATATTAGAATAAGTCAATTAATGTAAGTTAAGGTATTTTACACTTAATAAAAACTTTTTCCAAAAAGATTAATATTAAATTTAAAAAAAAAAATCAATTTGAAACAAATATTTTATTTAATTTGTAAAATTTGATACAATCACTTTTATATTGATTAATTTAGAAAATCAGTTTTTCACTCAAGAACTAAATCTTACTCTACAGAATAAACAGTTTTTGTATATTTTTTTCATTTGTAATAAATATGTGGATAAGTATTTTATTTTATTTTTTGTTTTACAAAATCTTTACTATGCACAATTCTAATTTAAATATATCTTATGTACTTTAACACAATTTTTCATTTTGAATATTATTCAAAGAACATAAAACTTTAAATTATTTATTTACTTATATTCTTTCATGAAATTGCACTAATTCTTAATATAACTATAAATATATTTATATCGATGTATTTAATTATTATTTATTTTTATTTGTAAATATTTATTTATAATATTGATTAACGTATACCACTTTTTTTTTTTTTTTGTAAATTGAAACAAAATCCACAATTAAATTATTTTTGTATTTAAATTTTTTATTTTGATTATTTATCAGTTTGTTTAAAGAATTTTACTCAGTGTTGCCATGTAATTTTTTATACATATATCTGTATGTATGTATTTAGTATTGTAATACATAAAAAAATAAATAAACTTTCTTATTTTAGGTTTGGTGAAAGCTCTTTTTTTTTTTTTTTCTTTTGCTTATAAATTTTATTAATTATTTATTTATTTATTTCTTACTTTTTCTTCATGATAAGTAGTTTTAATATTTTAAACTCAGCTGATTTCTCCTCTTGTCAAAAGTTCTTATTTATTTTATGTATACTATATTATAGTCTTTATATTGTACACATTTAAATTGTAGAAAATGGAATATTTATTATCTACAAATACTAAATTTGCTTGCGTGTGTGTGTGTGTAATATTGTGTGTATATTTATTTAAGAGTGCTTATAAATACATACGGAATGGTATGTTTGTATTATTTTATTTGTGTAAAGGTGTATTTTTTAAAAAATAAAGCAAGTGTATTAGTTTTATAAGTACTTATTTGAGCTTTTCTTTTGCTTTATCACGAATTAATAACCGAATCGTAACGAAAATTTCCGATTAGTTGAAGTTTTTAATTTTGTCACATTAAAACTTATGTATGTATGTGTGTTCAAAGATACATAATTTTATATCGGAATTTTAGATATTTGCCTAAATTTATAAATGTATTTTATTATGTATATTACAAGAAAAAAAAAATTAATTGTTTAATAGTATTGAACAAATTTATTCTGACAATTTATTGGAATAAAATTTTTCACTTAAATAAAATTATTAATGTATACTGTTGATATGACATTACTAAATATTTGTTTATTTTTTTGCTTTTATTGTTTTTGTTTCACAAATATCTCATGGTGGAAAGAAAAAATATAATAATTTGTATGTATTTGATGTAATTTCCACCAAAAAGTGCGGATGATTTTTATTTAAATTCCGAAAATAATAATTAAAATAAATAAAAAAAATACCATTAAACTTATTATGAACGTATGGGTAATTATTTGTTTAAAAATTCGCGGCGATTGCGCTGTTTTTTTTTTTCTTCTGCTTTATCTAATTTATTTTCACTAGTATATAAAAAATTTTTGATTTTTTTTTTCTTCACCTTTATGAATTTTAGTATAATAATTTAAAATAAAATAATTTTGATGTACTTACAATTATATTTATACAAAAATTTGACTTTAATCAATTTTTTTTTTTTTATAAATGAATAATTTTCTTAAAATATTTATTTACTATTACTACTTTATTTTATTTTTCTTTTTGCCTTAATATTTTTTACTCCAATATTTCTTTTTATTAAAATTGATAATAGGAACAATTTCACTTATTCTTTTTCTTATTTATTTTTTTAAAACTTATATTTATTTACTCTACACATCAATTTACTCACGTATTTTTCTTATTTTACTTAAAATTATAGTGTATCCTTTCTTCTGTGATATCCTTTAGTGATATATAGTGATGAATAGGTTTGGCAATTTAAGCATTAAAATTTTTTATTTATATTTATTATCCAAGTGAGAGGCTTATACCGTTTAAGAGTCCTTTAACGAATTAAGTTTTGATTTTATTAAAAAATTTTATCTTATTCACTCAATACGCTTAGGTGTTTTGTTTTTTTTAAATTTTTCTTTTTTGGAATATGGATAGAAATTATTGGTATATATCTTTATCTGTACGCAGTTATTTATTTTATTTTTTTACGATTGCTTGTTTATTTTTTTTTTTATTTGCTATAATACACTTTTTGTAAGAAATGTGTATTAAAAATATTTATTTCTTTATAGAAATATGTGTATATTATGCTTATGTTGTATTCAAAGAAATAAATTACAATTATGTGCGCTTATACAACTAAAACTATTTTTTTTTTCGTATACATTCATAAAAATTTAATGCATGAAAAATTTTTTCTTTATTATTTTCAAATGATTTTCTATTGAGTTTCTTATATTGAAAATCTTTGGCTTTCTAAAACAAAAATTAAAAATATTATTATTAAAATAATTTTATAACATTCGAAAAAATTTGATTTTTTTAAATATTTTTATCAAATTTTGTCTTTTTTTTTTTTGTTTTATTAAATTTGAATATGTGTATGAAAGTAAAATTTAATATTTAAATATTTTTATCCCATAGTATTTATATTCAGGGTCTTTTATAGTAACTTTCTTGAATTAAAAATTTTGTGTTTTATTAAAATATTCCATTCAGGATTTTAAGGTTTTTATTTTCTGTTTGTTATAATGATGAATTTTATCCTTTAAGGAAATTTGCATGTAATATAGAGAAAGGGTGGATACCCTTGCAAATTTTAAAAATTTATTTTCATATTTTTTCACTTAAAATTATTTTTCAAAATTTAAATATTATTTTTAAATAATTTATTGCATTTTATTTTGGCAAAAAATTGTTTTTTTGCCATAATTTTGATAACTTTTTACATATTGATAAAGTTTTTTTTTATATGTTATTTCTTTTTTTTTTTTGTATGAAAATTTTCGCGTATTTGCTTATACAGAATTTATATTTTATTTAAAAAAAAAGAAAGAAAAAATATTTTTTTTCTCCTTTTTTTTTTTTAACAAGTTGCAAACATATGTACGGTAACTAGATATACAAGAATGTTTATTTGTTTCCAATGTGATTTACAAAAACAACAATCGATAGATTTATGTATAAAAATAATAATAATAATATACCGCACGCGTTAAAAATTCCATTATACTATAATTTCTTGGAAGTTCATCGTTCCGCAGCCCGTTAAATACTGCTTAAATTCAATACTCATTAATTTCATCGTCACTCTTTATCGTCGTTAAGCACATCCTCTCAATTCTCGTTCATTTCAGCTGAAATGAGTTAGAAATAAAAATGTGTAGAAAAAAAAAAAAAAAGAAAAAGTTAAATGTGTATACACAAATTTATGTCGAATTAAAGATGTTCATATATTTTGTAGATGTACGGTATAGAATATTGTACATTTAATATTATATTATTCAATAATGTTAGTAAGAAAGAGAAAGATTTTTAATTGAAAAAAAAAACGTAAAAAAATATAACAGAAATATGACGAAAAAATTTTTCTACAAGATAATAATGTTTAAGTTTTTATTGAAAAAAAAATTTTTTTTTTCTCATTTTTTGTTATACATAGAAATATTATACAAATATCTGTAGATATAAATGCATTTAGTCAAAAATATTTTAGCTTCTTAGCAAAATATCTACATGGTTTTCAGTTGTTTTTTTGGCATTATTTGTAAATTCAATGGAATTATTTTTTTAAAGGTTGCATATCGTAATCTAAATATTAAAATATAATTAATTTGTTTTACAATTAAATACGATTTACGTTATAAACTTTATTGTTCGATAAATTAAAAATTATAACCAATTAAATATTTATGAATATATCAATTAAAACCAATTAATATGCGTCTAATATCAATTGAAAATGCGTCCAAATATCGTACAAATTAATTTGCACATTTGCATTCAAGAATATTTATTTAGTTTCGAGTAAAAATATGTAAAATTTGTTGATTATCGTAAAAATTTGTCATTATTATTATTGTTGACTAAACATAATCAAACCACATTATTTGAGCTGGTAACACTTGCCTTTTTTTTGACCAAAAATGTAAACATATACCAGAAAAACATTGACAGAGAGAACAATGAAGAGATTAAGAAAGTATAATGTGAATAAAATAATATACTTATGCATTGCCAAATTCAGCTAAAAATTTTATCAAAAATTTCCGTTTAATTCTAGTACACACACACATATACACATATTTTTATATATGATATTTAACTTATACTCTCACTTTTCAGCCAACTTTTATTATTTTTTGTTTTGTGTTATAGAACTTGCTATCACTCTTATTTTATTTGAAAATATGTAAAATATTTTGTTTTAAAACAAATAATTTTTTTTTAATTTCGCGATAGGTGTTATTTCCAAAAAAAAAATGCACACAATTTTACGAAATTTTTTAGTTTAAAGAATTTTTTTTTGAAAACATTGTAAGTAAATTCACGTTTTATAAATTGTCAAACCTAAATTTTTCATAGAAAAATATTAAAAATGTTTTCAATTTTTTATTTAAGCCTATTGTGAATTTCTTTCTCTAAATGTCACAAACCTGAATTTTAAAATCATAAAATAATTCTATATACATATGTAAGTATAAGCGTGTATCAATCAACTTTTTCTTAAAGTATTTTGATAAACTCATACGTTCAAAATTGTAAGATAATTAATTTTTGGTAGATGTTTTCCTAAATCTGTAAAAGCAAGAATACATGCTTTTTGAAAACCTTTACAAATAATAATAAGACTTGGACATTTATCTGGAACAATCTCATATTGAAGACCATTTCAGAGTTATTTCTCTCTAATAGGAGTACAATTGAAAAAATATTGTTAATACAACACTCGGGATTTCAAATAAATTTGATTACAATAAAAATTATTGTCCAAGTTTATAAATTTTATGCCTTCATACTTCATTAAAACGATATGTGCATGTATAACAGGCGTATACGTGTGTGAATTTTCGATGTGCTCAT